GCCTCAAAATATCTTAAAAGTTTATTTTGTGACCCAGAAAGAGTAATATTACAACTAAGTAATTGTTGGAATTCAACTTTTGCGAGATCTTGCAAAACCTTTGCGGTTTTGCAAGATCTCGCAAAAGTTGTTTGTTTTACGAGATCTTGCAAAACTTTTGCGAGATCCCGAGTTAGATCTCGCAAAAGTCCATCTTAATTTTTTTTTCTCCCATGTCCCCTGCGGGGCTCCGTAAAACTGCACTGTCCCTTTTAAATAAATAAATTCAAATTCAAATATGCTTTAGCAAAAAGCAACGTTTGAAGCCAAATATTAAAAGTAGAGAGGATGTCTGTATCATGGGTCCAAAGTGGGAGCTGTTGTGGCTGAAGCGCCACAGTTATGTATCTTATTAACCTGCTGAGATAATAAGTACCTATTTTAATGATCAAGCTATTCATATCTTGTTCAATGAATACTGACAAAGATAATGTTACAAAAGGTTACGGTAGTATTACACTAATATAAATTTAAAAAATTTAAAGACAAGCTTACAGTCATGATTAAATTGTGTCTTTAAAATACCTAATGAGTTTAAACATTTGTTTGTTTTAGGCGTACAGACTGGAGCCTCTAATCTTAAAGCACTACAGTAACATTGCACCTGTTCAGATCCACTGGTAAGAAATGTCAAGTGTCTTGTATATAAAAGATGTTTTCCAGCTGTAAAGGCTAGAATAAAATAAACTTTTTGGTTTTGTGTGTAGTAATAACTATCATGTCATTTAAGTAAGGGCGAAATGTTTCATTGAGCAGAGGTTGATGTGATGTGCAGGTACAACACTACCAACCCGGCACTGTATGATCTGATCCGGCCCACGCTGCTCAATCCCCTGAAGGAGACTGTGTCTGTCTCAGATTCAGAGAGCATCCCTAGCCCTTGCACGTCTCCCCCCCAGCCCCGGCGGCACTATGGAGAGTCAATCACCAACCTGGGCAAAGCCAGCATTATGGGTGAGGATTTCGGCAATAGAGTCATAGATGATAGGAGAACATTATATATATGTGATTTTTTCAACTTCTTATGTTTAAAAATCAGTTTAGTGAAATAATAATATCTGAAATGGATATGAACGCCAAGTAAAATCAGCTGATGTAAGCTGAGAGAAACAGAAGATGCTTGAGCTGCTGATATTGTAGCAGCCCCAGCACTGGGCAGTAAACAGTTTCTAAACAAATCAATAGAAGCAATTAGCTCTGGAGAGTAACTTTAACTGGATAAAAGACATTTGATATTACACAGCAGATATAGAGGTACTGCTTCTAACACTATTAGAACTTCACTCCACTAAGCTCCCAAAAATTTAAGATGAGACAAGCCAAGCGTTTTTAGGTCATGAAATTTGTAGAGCACTAGAACGATAAAAACAAGCATTTCAAGGTGACATTTTGCTGCCACAGTTGTGGTCCACAGACAAGGGTCATGAACCTGTTGCCCTTTTGCCCCCTTCGAGTGACTCCCTGAGGCTCCCTTGAGAATTAATACGGTTGGTGCATCAATCCAGCTTTTTCCATTACTGCCCAATACCTTGGTTGTGGGTATCCGGAAAACCCCAAAAGGGAGCAGTTGAAAGAAGAAAAGGGCAGAAGACACACGACTTTTTTGAACACAGTAAATATTGTTAATGAAGAACTTTAGATTAGGAATACAAAATAAGATGATCTAATGCATAAATCTAATTACCCCTAAGGTGCTGCAAGTCTCGGAAAGGGAATTGGAGGAATCCTATTTTCCCGCTTTTCCCGTTCCAGCGGCCAGGTGGGTGGAGTGGAGGAGGAGCCATCAGATTCTGAGAGTGGGACCTCTGATGTAAAAAATGTGGGAACAGGAGAGGAAGAAGTAGCAATGGCAGAGAAAGAAGACAAAGACAAACAAATAATGGAGGAAAGAAGGGAGGTGGAGCCTGCCATGTCCCAGTCCACCTCAGCTGTCTTGGACATCACCTCATGTAAGTGCTGTAAAGTAAAGCATCTATGATTTGCTGTGGTTATTGAGATCTTAAACCAACGTAGCTGCTCTTCAGGGGCTAGAGCAGATCATCCACTAATCAGAAGGCTGGTAGTTCAATCCCAGGCTGAGTCTGAATGCTAAAGCATCCTTGGGCAAGAACTCTGAGTTGCTCCTGATGCATTCATCAGAATGTGTGTGTCACACAGAATCTGTGTGAATGATAATTAGAAAGTACTTAGCTATAATCTCTACAAGTAGAGAGTAGTAAATGGGTGAATGAGACATGTATAAAGTGCTTGAGTAAAAGAGTACTATATAAGAACCAGCCCATTTACCATTTCTTTTATCTCCCTGTAATCATTTTTCAGAAACTTTTTTGTGAGTCAAAATCATGTTTGTTCTGTTAAGTCAGTTCAGTTCAGTTCTATGTATATAGTGCCATTTCATAACAACAGTTGCTTCAAGGTGTTTTATATTGTAAAGATCCTCCAGTATCAGAAAGAAACCTCAACAATCACATGACCCGCCTACGAGCAAGCAACAGTGGGCAGAAAAACCTCATAACCGGAGGAAACCTCCAGTGATGTGAGCTGTGAAGGATTATACTTCTTGGATCCTTCACTGCAGACATTAACTCTGTGGATAAAACATAAAGTTCACCAGGGAAGACACAAATGATAACAGGTTGCCATTCCTGGACTGTGCCGTGCACATTGAAGAGAATGGAAACCTCAACACTGAAGTTTACTGGAAACCCACACACATGGACCAATACCTCCTCTTTGACTCCCACCACCCTCTGGAACACAAACTTGGAGTAATCGGGACTGAGGGAACACACACGTGTAAAGGAAGCTCTTAAAACATGTGGTTATCCTAATTGGACTTTCATCAAGTCAGCAAAGACGCACAGAAAAGAAGATCAGACACCAACTAGGGAGGATCAGAAAGACAAAGTCAACAACATTGTCATCCCCTATGTAGCCGGTTTATCAGAAAAACGCAGAGTCTTCTCCAAGCACAACATCCCAGTGTACTCCCAGCCACACACTCAGATACAAACTGGTTCATTCCAAAGACAAAACTCTTAAACATAAACTTAACAACATGGTATATGCTATACAGTGCAGTGAGGAATGCTAGGACCTCTACATTGGAGAGACTGGATAAACACATGGCACAACATAGAAGAGCCATCACCAGGGTACAAGACTCGGCTATCCATCTGCATCTAAAGGACACAGGTCACTCTTTCGAGGATGCCAGTGTTCACATTTAGGACAGATAAGACAGATGATTTGAAAGAGGAGTAAAAGAAGCCATCTATGTCCACTTTGAATGACCATTATTGAACAGAGGGCGGGGCTTAGGACACCAACTGTCAACCCTCTGTAATCCAGTTTTGAGATCCTTCCCAGACACTTTAAAGCCCACTCACATCCTGGGTCATTTGACTTCAGTAAATCACATGATAGGGTGAGGCAAGGTCTTACAATTTGTTCACCCACACCTGTTTTCACACCTTGGCTCATGTGATTAGGTAGAGGAACAATAAGGGGTCCATGACCCTCATGTGGACACTCCACAAGGCTTAAATCTGGGAATCTCCACCAATTGCTCTTAGAACTGAAGAAGCTTCTTGGATGAGATGTAAAACGTCTTCAAGAAAACTTTAAAAAATCCTGACGCTTTTCCAAGCTCCTTAGACTAGACCTTGGTTAGTTTTTCCCCAGTTTAGATTTTTAGTTTAGTTTATCTCCATGTTCTTTTGCCTTTGTTTCGCATGTGTTTTGGCCATCAATAAACAGCTTGTTTTTTGTTAAACCTGATTCCTGCCTTGAGCGTCTGTGTTTGGGTCCTCTTAAATAAATACAGGGTCTGCCACTGCACTGCAATGAAGTGTTTTGAGCAGATAGTGTCTCAGCACATCAAAGACTGCCTACCTCCCTCTCTTGACCCCCACCAGTTTGCTTACAGAGCAAATCGGCCTACAGAGTATTTCATTACCATCACTAGGAAGAGCTGCGAGAGGAAGCTCTTTGTGGACTCAGCATTCAACGCCATAATCCCAGACATCCTTTCCCACCAAACTGGACCACCTCCACATGCCCCCTGCCTCCTGCTCCTGCATCAAAGATTTCCTAACCAACTGGCCTCAATCAGTCCGACTTGACCCCCACCTCTCCACTCTACTCTCACTCAGCATCGGGTCCCCAGAGGGTTGCATTCTCAGCCCCCTACTGTATGTCCTCTACACCTATGACTATACACCAACCCACACAACCAATGTCATCATCAAGTATGTCAATAGCACTGTGATTGAGCTCATCTTTGATGAACATGAGACAGCATGCAGGGTGGAGGTAAAGAGTTTGTCCCACTGGCACTCAGAAAATAACCTGAACCTCAAAAGAACTCATCATGGACTTCAGGAGGCACAGACAGGTCCAATTCCCTCCCACCCATCCATCCTTCCTTCCTTCCTATTATCCGGGGTCAGGTTGCAGGGGTGGCAGCCCAAGCAGAGAAGCCCAGACCTCCCTCTCCCCAGCCACTTCCTCCTCGACCAGGTGTCCGGGGAGACACCAAAGCGTTCCAAGGCCAGCTGAGAGATATAATCTCTCCAGCGTGTCCTGGGTCTGCCCTGGGGCCTTCACCCGGTGGACATGCCCGGACTACCTCACCCAGGAGGCTCCCATCCTTTTCAGATGCCCGAACCACCTCAACTAGCTCCTTTCGATGTGAAGGAGCAGCGACTCTACACTGAGCTCCTCTTGGATGGCCAAACTTCTCACCGTATCTCTAAGGGAGAGGCCAGCCACCCTTCGGAGGAAGCCCATTTCCGCCACCTGTATCCACGGTCTCGTTCTTTCAGTCATGACCCACAGCTCGTGACCATAGGCGACCGGTACAGTGTCCGCATCACTGCAGCCGCAGCACAAATCAGTCTGTCAATCTCTTGCTCCTCCTCCCGTCACTCGTGAACAACACCCCAAGATACTTAAACTCTTCCACTTGGGGCAAGAACTCATCGTTGACCCGAAGAGGGCACAGCACCCTTTTCTGGCTGAGGACCATGGCCTCAGATTTGGAGGTGTTGATTCTCATTCCCACCGCTTCACACTCCAAACCATTCCAAAGCGAGCTGGAGGCCATCACCCGATGAAGCCAACAGAACCACATCATCCGCGAAAAGCAGATACCCCAAAGCAGACACACCCAGGTCCTATGCTCCTCGCCGCCGCCCGGCTCACAATGCACCCGACCCCTACGGTGCCTTGTGCGGGTGGTAGGCCTGCAGGAGGATGGGTCCATGTCCCTTTTTCTGGCTGTGCCCAGCCAGGCCCAATGGACTAAGGCCCAGCCACCAGAAGGTTGCCCTCGGGCACCCTCCCCAGACAATGTGCCATGGGAAACCCTACCAGAGGGGGGAAAAAAACAGACAACATAGCCCCGGGGATCCCTGGGACACACAAATCCCTCCAACATGATAAGGTAGCGATTCGCGGAGGGGAGGTCCAATTCCCTTGCATCATAAATGAAATATAGGTGTAATCTGTCTCCACCTTCAGGTTTCTGGGCACTCACATCTCCGCCAATCTCACCTGGACCCACAACACCATCGCCCTGGTAAACAAGGCCAAGCAGCAGCTGCACTGCCTCTGTGTCCCGAGGAAGAGTAACCTGGACCAGAAGCTGCTGCTGGCCTTCTACCACTCCTTAGTGGAGATTGTGCTCTGCATGGGTGTCTGGTATGCAGGGGCCACAACTGAGAAAAAAAAAAGGCTGCACAGAGGTTAATTAACACTGCCCAAAAAATCATTGGCTGCCCTCTGCCACCCCTGGAGGCCATCGCCAGCTCCTCCTGTCTCAAGAAAACTAGGGCCATCACAGGTGACCCCTTGCACGACGCCCACTACCTGTTCGACCTGCTGCCCTCTGGTTGGCACCTAAAGTCAGTCAGGTCCCACACCTCAAGATTCACAAACAGATCCTTCTCCTTGGCTCCCCCACACCCCACCCACCTCACTAATCTGAGCCATAGTCGGAGTAACCCCCATCAGTCAGGCCACACACACACACACGGACTGTCTTCAGAAGTATTTTTTCTTTGCAGTACTTCCAAGCACTCTATTGCTTTTTATATATTCCTCTTGATTGTATATATTTCTCCTCTTTGTTATTTATTCCCGCTGTCTGCTATTTATATTTTATAGAATAGAATAGAATAGAATTCAACTTCATTCATTGTCATTGCACATGTCACAGGTACAGGGCAACGATTATTCCTGCACAGCTGGTTTTGTGCACCCACAATTTTGTTGTACATGTACAATGACAATAAAGGGCTATTCTATTAAATTTTTTGATGAGAAAGAAAGGTTGGTGGTTACAAATGTATTACATTCAGTATTTATAAATATGTTTTATGATCTACTGTAGTTTACTAATGCATACCTACAAAATATTCAATGTCTGGTTAATAGTAAGAGTTTAGGCCAAAAGTAGAAATTTTATTGCTCCAGTAAACTGAAATGGAAACCACATGTTGCATAGTGAAAAAAAGTCAAATGAACTTCTTCAGTATGAGTATTCAGCACCAGCCTGGCTCACATGATCTTAGATCCTAATATGGCATTTCTTCTGTTGCAGTGGAATTGGAGAGACGCATTGACTTCGAGCTGCGAGAGGGATTAGTAGAAAGCCGCTATTGGTCAGCTGTGACTTCACATACAGCCTATTGGTGCTCATATGATGTGGCTCTGTTTCTCCTCACCTTTATGTACAGACAACATGAGCTTCCTGAACCTGCTGAAGACAACTCAGACGCCACATAAGTGCAAAGTGAGAGTGGGACCTGTACGCCTGAGTCAATTTACTTTCTTTTTCCAACTTTTGAAATCCAAATTCAATTTCAAAAATGTTGGGATGCTGTATAAAGTGTAAATGAAAACAGAATTTTCAAATTTCAAATTCCGTTTTATTCACAATGCAACAAAGAAAACATATCAGATGTTAACACTGAGAAAATTTACCATAAAAAAACCAAGGCCTTTTTAATTTTTTTGAGACTTGTAACCAAGTCTCAAAAAGTTTGCACAGTTTCACGTTTACCACTGTGCACCACTACCTTTTCTGTTGTAGCTGGACTTCTGCGAGAGGAATGCTGCCTCATTCTTGTCGGTCTATGTTGTGTTGCTCTAAAACCTCTATATACATTTCAGCATTGATGGTGCCTTCCCAGATACACAGGTTGCCAATTGCATAGGCACAAATGAAACCCTGTACCATCAGAAATGCAGGCTTTTAACTGGGTGCTGATAACAAGCTGGGTGACGCCTCTTATCGTTAGTCCTGAGGATAAGGTATTCATGTTTTCCAAAAACAATTTCAAATTTCTGTTGTGTGTTCAGAGAACGTTTTTCTATTTTGTCCATTCTGAGACAAAGAATGGACTGAGACTGTCTTCTCTGAGCTTTGACCCAGAGAAAAGTGATCATGTTCACATATGGCTTCCTTTTTTGCATAATAGAGCTTTAATCTGCATATGTAGATGGCACAACAAACTGTGTTCAGACAGTGATTTCTGGAAGTGTTCCTGAACCATGCAGGGATTTCCATGACAGAATTATGCTTGGGAATCTAAAGACTACCAATCTCATAAATCCTTGAGGAGACTGCTGTTGTAATTTGGTACTATATAAATTAAAATAACATCACTCTAAAACCCTAACCACTAACCCTCTGAATGCGACTTGTTGTTGGTTCACTGCTGTATAGTTCTACCTCCTTTGCACCGAATATATATGTGTAGCATGGCTTCTTTAATGGTTCCTCCTCCTTTTGTAATAGCGATACTAAATTTAGCCTGTTTGTAGTTATGGAGACCCAGCACTGCACCCTTGAAAAACCTGTACCTAGCCAGGCCCCTGTAGTTGGTGTAGGAGAAGGTAGTTTTACAAATGTGTGCCTTAAAGCAGATATCCCATAAACCGGAGAGGAAATGGTGTTTCGACACTGTGTCAAGCTTGTGAAGTGCAGATGTTTTGAAACACTGCTCCGAAGCATGGTTCAAAACACCTGGGTCGCATGACCACAACTAAACAAGGTTTTGGTGCACTTCACCCCAATTTCAACCGGTGCCAAACCTGCTCCTTCTAGGCATTACAAAGCACCAGGATTCCAATGTTTCAAGAATCTGAGTCATTTGTAATTACTTCAATTAAACACTGGAATCTATAGTGTAATCAATCCAATATTATATAGATATATACATAATATGTAAAGACCTCTTTTGAATGATTACTAGCATCAAGACAGAGACTGGGGGCTTCTAGCAAAAAGCTGACACTAACACCTGGAAAGCTTCAAAATCAACCAAAGACGTCCAAAGTTTGAAGGCTTTGAGGAAAAAACGAGACAGACTGAGCTCCAGACAGCTGGAAACCTCTGTGGTTATTCCAGTAAACACAGCGGTCTTTTCTAAGAATGATTTTCTTTGTAAATTAAGTTGCTGAAAGCAATATGACTATTAACAGAGGAAAAATTTTGCTGAAGTACACCGATCACTATAGTCACAGGCTGCCACCCATCTTTAATGGTCCCAATATTTTTCTGGCCTCCAAAATATGTGTTGATCATAATTATTAACAGTCTGGTATGATGAGTAGCTTTGTTTGGAATTGTGCAGAGCTCGTCTGTGCCAGTGTAGTGTACTGGTGTAGTGAAGGTTGGCCAGCAGATGTCATCATGGAGACGGGTTACAGATTGTTTCAAAGCCTCAATACAACTCTGGCACAAATGCTTTGAGTGTTTCAGTGTTTCACAAAGTCCCATCTATAGGTTTGATTTACCCAATTATAACTGCCCTAACACAACAAACACAGGGGATATAACTACTGGCTGATCAGTCCAGGACGTAAGCACATAAGGTAATAACAAATACTAACAAATTATGTAACACCAAACAAAACAAAATAACTGTTAATTTAATAACCTCTTCAAATCAATAATACTGAACAACAATGCCTAGTGTGAGTCTATATATTAGTAAAAACTAAAACCTGTTTGTAGATTCTGTGTTACCCAGAGAATAGCTTTGTGCGCCAATTCAATTTTAAACAATTTTCTTAAAGGCCACTTTACCTAACTCAAAGCATTCAATGGAGATGTGCCATGTACATTAGCTGAACTGTAAAGACACAAGCATGCAGAGAATCTGACACTAACACCTCACACTAAATTTGCTAATGTACTATGCATACATTAGAATTCAGAGAAAAGTTTAACCTGCCAGTTAAATGTTTTAACTTGTTTTCACTGATCCCTTGTAATATGTGTTTGCACTTTTGTTTTTTAGTTGAAACCCATTATATGTGATGTCCTATATATGCATCGGTGTAGAGAATTTGGGGGCCAACAAAAATTAGGAGACAGCTAACAACAACAAAAAAACAGTTTCAACCAAGAGAGGTCTAGGTTCTGCACAGTAAGGATAAATTATATATCCTTTCTGTGTGTAGAACAGTTCTGAATTTGAGAATAGGTTGTTGTTTGTTTGTTTTTGCATTTTTAGCTTGTACCTTAAAAAGTCCAGTCAGCTTGTCAATTGTTTTGAATACCAAAACCTACAAAAAGTACCCTTGAATTCAAATGTACTATTATTTTAAATGTTTATAAAAAATATAGTGATGTTTTCATCCTCAGTTTAATATTGAATAAAATCAGATCTAATATCAAATATGTTGGACATGAAATATTATGTTTTCTAAAAATTGTTAGGAAAAGGCCCTAAATGTCTGATGATGTGGGGTGGCCAAATACTCTGCATTGCTGTAAAATGTAGCATAGCAAGGATACATGGTAAATGAAGACGGTTTTCATGAATGATGCATGATGATACATACTGTATGACTTTAAATCATAGAATCATTAGATTGCATTATTAACAGTACTGGGTGGCAGACTGCCCTTTAACTATCACTGGTGCTGATGGTGGTCCCCTTTGCTGCGTGTATCTTTTGCGTTGGAATGTGACTGGAGGCTTTTCTCCTTTTCTGCATTACCCCGTGATAGGTTTGTAGCTTAAACCCATTCGCTGGAACGTTCAAGACAATTCAACTACACAGCAAAAGCAAGACGCGAGTAGGCAAAGTTCTTTGTGTTACTCATGCATGAGGGAGGCCTGCCTCGTTCCACCCACTTGACCTCCGTCAGCCTCTCAGCCCGGTTCCCTGTAGCACTCCTTTTATTGTGGTCACATGAATATGCATAGGTTCATTAACATATGACGTTTCATATAGGTATACATGTGGACAAAGAATACCTGTCTGTGTGTGTGTGTGTGTGTGTGTGTGTGTGGGGTCAAGTGTGACCCCATAAACGACTTCCCTAAACCTGCTGGTCTGGAAGTCCAGCAGTTCATCTAAACAAAAGGCACTTAGACTAAAACAGATATACGTGTGTTTGCTATACCATAAATCAGTAAGAGCAGATATAACCTCTCTCCTGACCTTAAGTTGTGTGTGCATGCCAGAGTGCTCTGGGAGGCACACAGAGTCTCCACAGACTACTAAGGATCAACCTCTACCACATGACATTGATTATAACTCTAAGCATTATGAGTAAATATTTCTAAGCATAAAAAACAATCCACTATATAAACCTGACACCCTGGAAGCAAAATGAAAACACTAACAATATTGAGAATTAATAGGTTTCCATATCACATTGAGAAACAGAATATGTCTTTTGGACCCATCAACGATGCTGTTTACATTTTGTACAGTGACAACTTTTTCAGTCTTTTTTTTTTTTTAATAAATGTAGTTATGTCAAATGTTACTTTGCAACTGATGAAATGAGAAGTCTAGCTAACACCATGTTTCTGTCTAGCTACCCCCTTCTGCCTACATTGTACAGTTCCTTCGTGATTGATGTGGCTCTTATTAGATTCTTGTTTTTTTTTTTTTTCCATTTTATGATTAAAAAACCAGGAACATACACTTCTTTCTCTGGTCTTCATTTTACATTGTGAAAGATTTAATTTGTATATGCAGAACACACTTCTGATTTAGCACATACTATTATGGGTGTAATAAAAGATAAGGGAGAATTTTTAAATAAAAATTATATTAATCTGCTTGAAATGTTTAACCCCGTTCAAACCATTTTTGGACAGAAACAACAACAACAAAAACAACATTAGTTATTACTAATCTATGTTATATGTCCAACACAATATGTCTCGCTCACCATGTCGAAAATGTTTTACACATATAGCAGCAAAGATGAACAGGCACATGGCTAAAAAAATGAGCAGGACACAGAAAGGAATTGGTAGGAATACTAGAGCGAAACACTAGCTAGTGCTGTCAACCCAGGTACAGCAAGGCCTATGACTCAATGCCCCGCATGTAGATCCTGGAATGCCTCAAACTATACAAGGTCAACAGGACCTTTAGATCCTTCATCGGGAACTCAATGGGGATGTGGTGAACAACACTAGAGTCCAACTTCAAGAAAATAGCGCAAGTCACCATTAGGGATGAGTATCGAACACCGGTTCTTGTTGAGAACCGGTTCCCACTGTTTCAATTCCTTGGAATTGTTTGCCATTTTTGCAAACGATTCCCTTATCGATTCCAGTCCCCGAATGACGTCACCACGTTGCGGAGCGTCATTTACCTGGCAGGAAACATGGCGGCTCAAACGCTCAAAAGTTTGGTTATACTTTACGAGAACGGATGACAACAGGGCAACTTGCAATACTTGCAAAGTAGATATTTCATTTAAGGGAGGAAACACTACGAATATGCAAAAGCATTTGCTCACAAAACACGCGATGACCTTAAATGAATGTCGTGTTTTTAATTCCGCTCCGGACTCGTGAATCTCAACCCAGCAGCAGCGGTAACGTTTGCACGTCCTCTCCCGTTAATGCGGCAGGTAAATAATCAACTAACAGTGCATATTATGTTAGCGCGATCTGCCTTATTACAAAACCTGCCATTACTGTGCATTTAGGTGACCATGATGAGAGAGACAGACAGAGTCTGGCTCAGATGCTGGCATTTCTCACTGCAGTCAGAATCATATGTTGCATGAATGTTTTGGAGATGTTCACACAGGTGGTTGCTGTTGCCATTCCTGGTTAAAAATCCTGAAGTTGAGGATCACTGTGAAGAAGTTCCAGGGATGGCTCTGGACAAACTGCACTGCAGGGAACTCCCTGAACCCTGTTGTAAATATTATTATCTTCTCAATTGTGGATGTGATTGCTCCCTCTAGAATAAGACCAGAGAAATCATAACAGGCAAACATTAATTTTGAACATGCACTCTACAACGTTTCCTACTGAATCAATCAGATAAAAATTGAAGGTGAATACTGGAGGTGATCTCTTAAAAATGCCACCACCTGGTTTTCTGCTGTTCACCTGTTGTTCTCTGTACTGGAAAATCTTAAAAGGAGCTGTTTGTAGAAGATGTCTGGTTTCACCTTTGTAGGCCTGTGACAAAGTAGGGGGTGGAACACATCTGGATAATATTGGATTTTTGTTGGAAAAATATCCATCCATCCATTCTTAAAGCAGAGAAGCATATGAATAAATAGATATTGGAACAGGTCATGCCGTTCAAGTGATTGCTGTGACCTGGGACCTGGAAGATGTTCCTAACCATTATGTGCTTGTCGCCAACCTTTCTAACAGGACTAAGGCAACCTGCAATCGCCAGGTAGTCTTGTAGTTCAGAAATTTGATTTTGGATGTCCTCAGTGGTCTGAGGATGAACAATCGGAAGAAAAAATAATGTTTCAGATTCCAAATGCACTGCAACAGATTCTCTTTTTAAAAACACTACATGTTTTGGGTCCAGTTTTCTGGGCATGCAACTTGGGGACAGCACACACAAAAAAACAACAAACACAGAAACCTAGGTGTGTGCAATAACATTAGGAGAATCATTTAAAGTAATATAATGTACTGAAAAAAACAACAACTATGTTTGATGCTTTATCATCTATTAAATATTAGATACTCTAAGGCTGCTGTTGTATTGTGATTGTTATTTTCCATTTTTTTAATTTAGACTTAAAAAATGCCCATGGATTTCATCATTTCGATCTTTGGCTGCACGTCTCCATATTAATTACATCTTCAGTTTTTGGTGAATCATTACTTGGACCCTTTGTTAAACATTCAAACAGACTGGTGGATAAAAACCCACTGCGAGGAAGGTCCTCTTAAACAGCTATCAAAACTGACAACACAATGATATTGACAACAACAGAATATGTACAGAATTTGCCTATACTGTAGATTTCATTTCTGGATTGAACTTACCTGTGAAATCAATGGCCAAATTCTTCTTTTCTTCTGTCCCCTCAAAGCTCGATGATTACTCCAGAGATTGTATAAGCAGCACGTAAGTCCACTACCGGCATCATTATCGAATTTAACTTGGATGCGGTTTTTGGGATTGTAGGATGTGAGAAGCCTGTAAAAGCATCATCCAATATAGTCGAGTAACTGATGTTCAAAAGGTATGTGCTATTCATACCAGTTCTTGAAGCTATTCCAGAAATTAAGTCCTTTGCTAATATGTCTACACCTTTGTGTATTGGGGAAGGCTTTAGGACCCAGGGGACCCAATGGAGGGTATAAAAGAGGAAGTAGCAGCTGGTGCTCTTCATTTCCACTGATGAGCGGCTGTGAACAATGGTTATGTGAGTAGGTGAAGAGCCTGAGAAGTTTTAATTGTCTGCTACACAAACAGTTGTTTTAAACCTCTACAGCAGAGGTTCAAGTAGTGATTTTAGAAGATAAGCCAAGATAAGCCAGGTGTGCAGCAAACACAGTTGTCTGCGGGAGGGCAGGCTGCACATGTGAATTTGTCACTGTTTTTTCCTCCTTCTCCTTTTTGTTGTGTTTCTCTCCCAAGTTGGTTTTAGAGTAGGGTCACCTTTTAAAACTGTTTGTTTTTTTATGCCGGGTTTGTTTTTATTTCTACTGGGCTGGTGCAATATTAGTCGGCAATGTGCAATCCCTGAGCTGGGCTCTTAGGGGAAGTAGGTCTTTTAGAGGTGCTCTGTGTGGATTTGCAGTGAATAAGTTTTATTAAGAGTGATTTTAGTGCCACCGATTATTGCCTGAACTAAAACACTTAGTGCATGCGATAAGTGTTCTGTTGGGCTCGTATTTATTTGGGGTGGATTTGTTTCTTTTAAAGCAACGAGCATCTGGGACCACCGGGGTAGAGCAAGCCCTCAGGTGATAGTTGCATTGCTGGCAGGTTGCACCAATAAGACTATCTTGTGGTCGTTAGTGACCTTTCCCATTTTGATGTTTTAGGCCTTTTGCAAACCCTTTGTGTTCTTTTAAAATAAATTTTAACATATCTGACTGATATTGACCCTCTTGTCCCGATTATTCTGGGCTCGTTCCTGTAAGAGCTTTGGGCCTGAAAGTTTGCACAAGTAGTATAGAGGCCCTTAGTGGTTACTCGGTGGCGTTTACTCGCTACATTTGCCTGTTTGTCTTTAAAAACGTGTACATATGTATTAAAATTATACAATAGAAGCTGTTAACATTTTTTCCATTGTCTTGATGTTGTTACGAAATAAATATATATCCTTAGTGCTTATTTTCTGATTATATTTTATGTATTTTAATAATAAAGGCTGTTGCCTGTTATGTTCACTTCCTATTTTACTATATAGTCTCCTGTTACTGTTTTGCTTTTCCCCCTGCCTCATATGTTTGATTAGTTGCCAGCTATTTTCCCCAGGTGTTTCCTCTTTGTCCTGTTCCCCTCTTGTATTTAGTGTGTGTCACCCTCTGTTCTCCCTCATTAACGGTCTGTTCTGCCTGTGCTTTAGTTTCTAGTTTCTCCCAGTTTAGTTTCTGTATTTATTCATGCAGCAATAAAGCTGGTTTTGAGTTGCGTTCTGTCTTTGAGTCTGCATTTTGGTCCTCCAATCCTGCCTGCCCACCTGTGCACACAGAAATCCATGACAGAGGCAGCCATCTTACAACTTTCTCTACATAGTACTTATGGTCATGAAATTGACCTTTTGGCCCATTGTTACCCAATAGCGCCAGTTTCCATCATTATGCAAATGTACTGTTCATACGGTCGGGAGAACCTGCAGTCAGTCTCTTGGATGGGTGACAAAACTTTTGTAGCACTGCATACGTGACTACCTTTTTCTCTTAATGATTAATATTTACTGTAAAAATAGAAGTCTTCTAACATCTAGAAATCTGTGTTTTTCATAGCTTCTAACAAGCCTTTTACAGTTTACCTTAACAGACTTGAAATCTAAGTCTTGACAGTTTGATCTGATTT